GGTCGCCAGGTGTCAAGAGTGATTCGAAGGAACACACACAAAAAAGTTCTTAAACTTACAAACTTTTCTTCCCTCCAGCTCCAGCAAGTTACCAGAATTTGGAGAAGATTATAGAAAGGGGGTGTTAAAATATAGGGTTGGATCCAAACTTTGTTATACTTAATGTAGATCTTTTCTTTTACGTGGACTATTCCATGTCATCAAAAACTTTTGTACATTACTTTCCAAGCCAGCCATTTCAAATAAACTGTATATGGTACAGTTCATATTTACACGCAGATGGGCCATTTTAATTACCTCATGAGAATTAAATTTACTTCCCTGTATGGACCACTTGCTCTATCTCTGTGGATCACAAGTTGGGAGCTATTGGAGTACAATTGTTGAAATTAATGGGACTTGATAATCACAACATATTTAAATCCATCTGATTTCAATGGGCCTAGGCCAAGCATGATTAACTTGGGTCCATCTCACCAAAAATAAATAAATAAATAATCCATGAGTGCGATGCAATACATATTTTCTAAAGGGTAAGTCCTACTCAGGGTGTAAGAAGCCCAGTTTCCTGTTCTTTTAGTGACTGACTAAATAAAAATATCCACAAATAAGAGAACATCCAAAATTGCAATTACAAAAACTACTTATAGATAGGGTTTAAACCCTAGTAAGAACTCTCAAGTTTTGAATTGTACAATACCTCTGATGGCAAGAGCTTTGATTTTCCACAAGGGATCAGTCTGCATGATCTTAAAAAGGCATTTAAGTACCTGTTCAGCAACAACAAAAAATCTGTTGACGGATACAGCACCCTATTTATACATTCTTTTAAATAGGGTTATTTATATTAAATAACATACATAATTTATCCCAAATTAAAAGCACCAACTAGAGAACCAGGACCGCAGTATGCAGCCTACAGGCATATACAATAAAAGACTTACAAAGGTAAACACAGATAAATAATCATGTATTGTGACTAGCCAGATACTGATCAATCCTGCCTCATCCTTCTTGCAGAAAAAAATCTGCTTCTACACAAAGAACGGGCTTTAAGGGATAGCTAATTGGCAGACCACAAACCAGATTCAGCTCTCAAAGCACTCCATCCTGTTGGTTCTACCATTTTCTCCCTAATGATGGGTGTGGGGGGGGGGGGGGGAAACACTTTAGTTACAGTTTTGCTTGCTATTTTGTCATTTGTATCTTTAAAAGGTAGGAGAAATTACCAATTTGTCTTAAGGGGATTTTTCAAGACACATCTTTATTTCTCTGCTCTTCCCTTCCTGCCTTTTATTTTCTAACACCCTTATGAACATAGTGGGATGCTTGAGAATAGCATGAAATCATTGTTTATGCAGGCATTGTATCTAACTGGAGTGAGCAATCTGTGGCATTCGGGCATTGCTGAACTATGAAACTCCCTGCAGACCCAACAAGCAAAGTCAGTGTTGAGGGATGTTGGGAGTTGTAGTTTAAAAACATCTGGCAGATCACAGGTTCCTCACCCTAGCTCTAAGTTGATTGGAGTCATGATTTTTCCTCCACCTGACCGAAGATGCTAGGTAATGCATTTAGCCCTTCAGCAAATAAATAATATGGTTTAAAAGATAAAGTGCCTTCACTTAGCAATTGCCCCTTCCCATATGTCTAAATGAAGCCCTATCTGTTAGGTGATGCCAACTTTATTCAGAACCTGACACTGATCCACCTCATGATGTACATAATTACTGCTGACCAGATGGGAATACATCAAAAGTCACATTTAGTCTAAATGAACATCTAATGTAGATATAGAGTTGCATATCCTGTTATATGCCTGAATTTTGTATCCCAACCAGTTAGGTATGCAGAAGGCTGGTTTTGCAAACATATGTTCCTTACTAAACTAGGATGTTTCTTGATTCATGAACAAGTTGGACTGTTCCAATCTTAGACTAGAGCAAGGTAGCTCTGAGAATCTTGCATTCAAGAATGGAATTTATCCATACCTTTGCATTCAAATTCTTTCTCAATCATTTTAGTGAACACTCACTGTCTCTTCTTTAATCTGAAGGGCTCCAGCTGCCCAGCAGGCTTCTTTTCGGACAGCTACAAAGTCATCAGAGAAACACTGAAGAAAACCAGGGAGTAGCCGGGCTGTCATTAATTTCAGCCAACCAATCAACGAAAGAGCTTCCACTTTCCTCCTGCAGTCTCCTCTTTTTAGCTTCTCTCTGAGAAGATAAGTATGCCATCAATGAATGATAAGTGAGCTTGATTTGTGCATCCAGGACAAAAATACAGTAAAATAAAATGTATTACTTGGCTTTGAGGGCAAAGCCAAGTAATCATAACTGGTTCAAAGCCGTTGAATCAGCAAACGTATTTTTCCTCATGCTATTGGTTAGTATGTTTAGCATAAATTATTATACATCTAGTTATACATCAATAAAATGTTTTAGGGATCTTTTAAAGAACTGTAAAAGACATCTGTACAAGCCAGGGGTGGGGGCCATTCTTCTGGTGCCACAATTCCTCTCTGCCATCTACTGTTCTCTCCTAGAGTGTCTCCTAATTTTGGGAAAATATTTTCATGAGGTACAAGGGAAAGAGAATGCAAGAAAGTCATCTTTCCTTGCAGCTAACAGAAATTAAGTTCTCTGTGCATGAAAAATAATTACAGCTATTACCTCCCTCTTTCTTTTATCATCACAAAGCACAGGCTGTATCATGTTACTGATGGCTGCTTGCATATAAAAATATCAATCTGTCGCACCATTTCTCATGTTAAGATATTACTGAGGCAGTGTGTCCAGTGCAGATAGAGTATCACATCTATCTTGCTAGGTAGAAGTGCAGGTAGTTGTGGTAATGTTTAACGCTCACCTGAGCTGGTCATGGACTTCTTTTCCAAGTTTCAAATATCCCAAAGCTTTGGCAGCTGCCTCGCGTACCTCAGTTTTCCAATCTGTCCACATCAGTTGGACAATTTTGTTCTTGAGGTCCTATTTAGAAGACCTTATATAAGTCATAATGTGACTTCAAATAACACATATAAAATAACAGTCTTGATTTTTAAAGCCACCTTTTTTTTTTTAGAATAATGAGTTGTTTCTGATTTCAGTATCACCATGGGAAAAGCTCTCAGAGATACCATATAGAAAGGCTGAGGGCCTTCCTCAAACAAAAAAATGCAAGAAAATCCGAAGAGACTGCCCCTTCTGTCCTCATGTAAGGGATGATGGAAGGGAATATGTTTGATAAGCCTCTTGCCAATATCTACCAAAAATAATAGTTCAGTTTTAAAGCATTGTGTAAATCAGTGTTTCTCAAACTTGGCAACTTTAAGACGTGTGGACTTCAACTCCCAGAATTCCCCAGCCAGCCAAGTTGCCAAGTTTGAGAAACACTGGTGTAAATTATTTTTTTTAATAGAGAATTTTTTTCTCTTGTTCATGTAAAAATGGAATCTCCAGTAAGCTTCAATCATATCAGAAAGATTACACTACCAATATTTTTTGCATTTCCAGTTCATGAGACATAACATACCCGGGTGACGTTCCCTGGAATACGAGACAATGTTTTACATGCCAAAACCCGATGCATCCATTGATAGCTGTTCAGTTCCGATGCCAGTAAACAATGAACCAAACCCTGAAAGCATTAAATTAATAAGAAGGAACCTAAAAACCACTCTATAATGACAATAGGAGATTCTATAGAGACAGGAAAAAAATGGGATGTATAAATATTTAGAGCTGAGGAGACATTACTCAAAAGGGTATACTGAGTACTTTTCATTTCTCATTTTTATTAAAATGCCTTTTTAAAAATAATTACTTTCATTATTTTTATATTGGTATCAAACAGCATATTTATTATATGCATGTACATTTAGCATGCAGGTTGAGTTTTGATGTGGAAGATTTAACTTGCCTATAATGTACATAATGCAACAGAATTATTTTTGCAGACTCTTCACACTGGTGGGAAAATCAAAATGAAAATAGTAAAGCATTTAGTAAATTGAATATATATATACACACGCATGCGTGTGTGCGCGCACCCCCCCAAAACATTACTTTTTTGTTATACATAAGGAACATTTATGCTTTCTCACAGTGACAGGGTTATTGTAGGATAATAAGGATTTCATTGTAATCTGTTAACTGAGAAGAATTTGAAAGGAGTTTTACAGTTAGCTTTTAATTTATATCCATTGTATGTGAAATTGTTAGGCATTATTCAAGTCTCATCAATGAAAAATCAAAGCACAGAATTTGTAATGTTGCCAATCCATTATATGCATACATGCACACATATACACACAGAGAGAGGAAACCCTGGAAATTAAGAAAGGTGGGATGTTACATGTTAGTCTCTGATCCCTTCCTATTAATTAAATGGCTGAGCTAAGGTGACTTAGCAGAAGATGAAAGACAAACCTTTTGACTTCTAACACTGAAACACTGAAGTGAAAATTTATTCCACTGGTTTAAAGCAAAACTGGATCATTATCAATAAGGATAGGATGTGAGTTACAAAGCTTACGGGAGGGAAAAAAACCCCTACACACAGTCATGAGAAGAAAAACATCTTCGTTAGATTTGCTGTCCCCAAAAATAGTTTAATCAGAAGAAGAAAGCAAAGGGAAGGCACGTAAGACCCGCTGATAAATGAAAATAGGAATTGCGGTATTGCTGTCTGCCTGGCTCAGAACTCATAGACGAGAATATATGTAGCTCAGGGTTAAACTGTGGAGTCCTTGGGGTTCTCTGAGTCACTGTATATAAACAGAGAGCAAGCCCCACTCCATTCTAGCACTGAAGATGTTACCCAGTCGGGTAACAAAACATTTGCAAGAAAACAACGAAGCTCAAAGAACCCCAAGGACTCCACATGGCTCAGAACTGGAAGTGAAGGGTGATGTTTTGAAAAAGAGCATTCCAGTCCCCATATCATAAAAAGGAAATATAATACAACAACAGTATGATGACATCCCACTACTTTTTGGAGCTACCTGATTGGTGAGGTCCCAAAGGCATGCTGTTTAGATGGCAACACATTTATTTCTTTTTCATCTTTTGAAGCAACTGCCCATAGTACCCTTTTCTGCAACTTGCATGGGACAAAAGCCTAAAAGATGGTAAAATCTCCTTGAAACCTGTTATTCCCTGGTGGCCTCCCACCCAAGTGTTAAGCAAGCCAACTCTACTTTGTCTGTGAACCCAGACAAGGAAGGTGACTTGCTGCTGCTGCTGAGACACTAGTACATAATGTGTGTATCCAGTAATGATGGGCCAACCCGATTCAGAAATCCTCAGTGGCTATCCCTATCATGTGTTTCCACCACGTTCTTCTTCCTGAGCTTTGATACTTACTGTGTGTTTGCTGAGCCGAGCTAACAGAAGACATGCCTGTTCTTCTGAGGCATCATCCTTTTGATCAAAAATCTGAGACAGAATCCTTTTCACTACTTGGAAACTGGTAATTCCTTCCAGTGCTAGGGCCTGAGCGGCTGCCCAGCTGTCTGCAGAATTGCCTAACAAGAAAACAAGAATAAATGTATGTCAAGGTTTAGAGTCCCCAAAGGATTGCTGAAATGATTATTCAGGGATAGCTTAAAAATACAATTTTGGGATAAAAAATGTCATCCTCATTTGATCTACTTCTCAATCCAGGTAGCAATGTAATTAACCAATGGTGTTGTTTTCAATGGGGCTTAATGATGGATGGAAAAGGCACAGGGTGTTTGCAGGTGATTATGTTCCCATTCCCCTTTTAGCTTGACTAGAGTCCTAGCCTGTAGAGCAGTGTTTCTCAACCTTGGCAAGTTTAAGATGTGTGGACTTCAGTTCCCAGAATTCCCCAGCCAGCCATGCTGGCTGGAGAATTCTAGGAGCTGAAGTCCATACATCTTAAACTTGTCAAGGTTGAGAAACACTGCTGTAGAGAGTAAGGCACATGACCTTGACGGAGATATGCAGGAACCGTTACCTAAGCAAAAGGGGCTGAAGCATTTTTTTAAGTCCAGAACAACAAGATAACATTCAGAAGTGGCTCAGGCAGACCCCACCCTGATTCACTGGGTTATAAGAAGAAGGAGGAGGTCCAGCATAGTCAGACTTGCAAGATTCAGTTATTATAGCCAATCTCAATAAAAGTCGTTTTAGCCTTCCCATGGAATTGATTTCCTGGCCTGGTCGACCTAGTGGGGCTGACATCAATCTTGCAAGTCTGATTGAGCTGTACCTCCTCCTCTTTCTTATAGTTCAGCGAGGCACATACCTGAGTCGTTTCTGAATGTTATCTCTTTCTTTTGGATTTAAAAAATAGGTAATGGTTCCTGCATATTTCTGTCAGGGTCATCTTCTTGACCCTCTGCATATCCTAGCATATATCCAAATATTGTTTACTGGAGAAAAAATATATTATCATGGCTTTGTGGATTAGTGATATTCACCGCCCCGCCCCCCAAAAAGAAGTATACTAACCATTTATCAGAGCATTCTTCATGATAGAGCGTGCCTCTTGATTTGGTTTCCACATGGCATAGAAGCATACTGCAGCTGCCATTCGCACGTGTGCATCCATGTCAAACAGAGTTTTTTGCAGCAAAGGCTGTATTTTTTTCGGTATATCCTCAATTTCTATGTCCTTCATGCCAGCATCTAGCCCTAATGCTGAGGAAATCAGCACATGTTTATGATAAAATAATACCAGATTCTAAAAATATGTTTATGTTAAAAATGTATAATTAGTTTTATAAATAAATTGCTGTGAAAGCTTCATAGCGTTTTAAAGATTTTGTCTCCTAATGATTTCAGAAAGGTTTTGAAATGTGCATTGCAAAGGATGGGGCAGGGGCAGAGTTGAGCTTTTCGCTACTAACAGAAGAAAATAAACCACTAAGATACGAACAGAAATACAAATGTCCATATTGTCCATCATATGCTTTAGCCTTGACTCATATGCACAGTACTTCTTCAGAGATAATGGAGAGAACTAAAAAATAAAATGAATTAAGTCATTGTGTGTGGAGGACAATTCATTTATTTCATAGCTAAGCTTTGGAATGTGTATCCCAAGTACAGCATTCTTGCAATAGGGCAACAGGATAACATACTGAATTCAATAATAAAATATACATTTAACATGTCAGAAATCCCAAAGTCAGTTACCAGCATATTTATTTTAAATCTTAATTTTTTTATATTACCTAGAGCTTCTGGAGCTAGACAGCCCATTGATTGACTTAATGGCTGCACTTGTGTATAACAATAAGCCAAGATTGTTAAATTATATTTTGTTGAGCAAGATATAATAGGCTGATTCACACTCACAGTATGCCAAAAACAAATTAAGCACATTATAGCTTAATACAAGACACAGCACTTTTTAAAGCTCTGGGCACCTAAAATTTTATGAGATTATTAAATTTTGCAAGATTCTGGAAATTTCTGCAACATCTCATGAAATCTAACGCAAGAAAATAAATTTTTATAAGAACTCACATAATGTTTTAGCATTCTTGCATGATATCTTACAAAATGTTGCCATTCTTCTGCAAAATCTCATATCATTTAGGAGATCTCCTATGAACTTGCTCAAATTTTGCAAAGTTTGGTAGTTTTGTAAGATTTCAGCTATTTTTAAACAAATTAGTTTTTATTTAATTTGGGTGGAATCATAGGTTATTCTGCTGATTCATCTCTGGGTTGTATTATGTATGAAAGGCATTTCCTTTCATTGTCCTGATATAAAAGTAATATCAAATGCACACAGAGGCTTCATTGTTTCCAAATGTATTCTATATGACTGCTTGAATTACAAGTCAATAGTATCATGCAATAGGTTCAGTTAAGCCTTATGTAAAAATGGACGGAATTGCAACTTAACTGTCCTAGGAAGAAACCAGAGTACTTGAACTGGTTACTGTATATATCCTGTAGTTGCTAGTAATGCTCAGGAAATATAAGTGAAATGATAGGAATTTCCACCCAAGGCATCTACCTGACTCCTGACTTGCATTTGGGAATTTACAGGGGCGCTCGAGCACAGCAGATGCACAGACAAGTAGAGCCCTGATACGATTTTGAACATGCAGATCTGCAAGGTCTTCCAGTATTCCTTCTATTGTTGCTGACTGCCACCGAGGATCTGAAAGTTAAGTAGAAAAGTATCACAAGAAGAATGTTGGGGAGAATATTATTTATAGCAAGGATATGAGACTGCTAGCTCTTTTAGGTGACCCACTCAAAACAAGTTAGAGGGGATTCAGCAATTATTAATAGCAGCAGTAAAATCAGAAAAACTGCCTTTATTTATTTATTAAATTTCTCCCCCGCCCATCTCCCCCCAATGGGGGAACTCTGGGCAACTCACACAAACATTAAAACCATAAATATATATAAATACATAAAACATCAG